GCAGGTAAACTCTGCTCAGAAATGACAATGAGGAGGTACACAGACTGATGGAGCTCATAGAGTGAGACGTTTATTTACATGAAGTAAACCTGATGTATCTGATCTGTAGATCAAACTGATGTGTTTAAACCTGTTGTTTAGGCTGGGCGATATGGCCTCAAATCCATATCACGATATATTCTTCTGTATAACATATTTTCCACACTTAAATCCTTTAATTTCCTCAAAATCGAGAGTGTGCCTTATGTATGAATTCTGGTTGTGCTTACTGACCTCGAACCGATTTTGGCTGCAGAAATCTGTTAAAAATGTTTTAGTACAACTTTGGTAAGCAGCACTGCTTGATGGATCGTCAGAGCATTACGGCTGCCGTAGGGAGCTTCACGGAGTAATCTGGGTCCAAAACTCCGACAGCTTCAGGTCCAAGTCAAACGAACACAAAGAGTTAAAAATGGTCTAAATTCTTATCTTTAATTAAATCATCAGCGTTGCTGCTTTACCAGGTGTAACAATTAAGTTTAACATCCAGGTAGGGCTGCTCAATTAATGAATTTTAATCTCGATTACGATCTGGGCTTAACGATCATTAAAATGACTGAGCCGATTATAGCCCCTCCCTCGTGCTTTACTCTCGCGCTGCTCCGTGTGGCAAATCGAGCGCACCTCTCTGCATTTCAAACACGTGTCACAACAATTAAGAGCAGCGGCTCCAACCTTTTTTGCTCCACGGACCAGTTTTGCCGGACAATATTTTCACGGGCCGGCCATTAAGGTGTGATAAATACAAACAAATAAACAGTGCCGTACCGAAAAAAGAAAATTTATTCATAACACACGTGAAAAGACCCAGGAAAACCAAGTCAACGATAAAACGATAAAAAATAACATGGAAAACCGATAAAAACCCTGAAAACTATACATTTCACACCTGAGCCTCAACTTCGCGGCCCGGTACCAAACGACTCACCGACCGGGACCGGTCCGAGGCCCGGGGGTTGGGGACCGCTGATTAAGAGGACCCGAGGGAAGCTTGGAAAGCTAAACAGAAGTTATTTGGAGAGGAGAGTGACTGCGTTGGTTGAAAAGAGGTAAAAAAACTTCAGTGGTTTGGAAACATGGGTTCAGTCAGACGTGGATCAAGTAGACTGTGTGTAAACTTTGCTACGGTGTCGTAGCTGCACCACAGAGCAACACTGCAAAGTTCACTAAACATAGATGTTTACATTTTTCATTTATTTTTATATTGCAAACATTTGCACTGTTATCAGTATTTGCACACTATTTAATATTATTTTTGACAACCTTTAAAGTCATTATTCAACACATTGTTATTGTTAAATAAATATTGTCAAATAATCGAGATCTCAATTTCAATGAAAATAACCGTGATTATCATTTTTGCCATAATCGAGCAGCCCTACATCCAGGCATCCATGAAAACAGAATTTATTCAATTTAACGGAGTTAGAAGTTAACAGGACGTTAGCTCGCTAGTTTCCACCTAAACATTTCATAGCATATTCTGACTGAGAGATTTTTGAAACTAATTCAAACGTACAGCTCTGCTATCACTTCCAACATAAATGAAGACTAAACAGCAGTGGCGTTTGCAGGGTTACTGAAGTTGGACTACCTGGTATATAATGTTGTGCTACATGACTGCTAGCGACACAGCTATGTTAGCATAACATTAGCACAGTGAAGCTGGAGGATGAATGCTAACTTTTTGGCTTTCGCCATATTTCAATAGTGCTTCATCTCTTTGCTATGACTGTCGCCCGCCATAATTGCAGATGATAATTGTTGTAGCTGCTGCGATGCTTTCGACCAAAACAGGCGCAGCTTGATGACATCATCAACATGCGGTATAGTCACAATCTCTATCTTTGGCCAAATTTATATCGTTTCTATCGTATATCGTTTCTATGGCCCACCCCTACTGTTGTTACTGTTGATCAGCTGAGATCAGCTGTGCTACAAACTGGAACTCTGCTGAACTGGATTTACTCGTTTCGTGAACTTCCAAGAACCAATGCTTCCTTGGAAAGCAGTGAACATAATTAAAAAAAACAGCTTTACTTGCACATAAATGTCAGTAAAGTCTGGATAATAAATTCTGGTGTTATAGGTTCTCTTGGTCAGCTTGGTGTTGGTTTGGCTCCTGCATAAAACAGTTTGCTCTCATATTTGACACTGACAGGAACAAAGAGTAAAAAACACGACAACCAAACTAAAAAAGAGAGACGAGTTAAAGCAGAAGATATTTTGTGTGTCAGAACATGTGATCCTCACCAAGAGAGAAAAGCTCTGATTATTGTTGCTGAACTGTGATGGTGAACAGTCTCCTCTGTTGATCCCAGTGTGACTGAAGTCCGTGTGATGAGTGAGGACTGAGCCTGTGTTGGTCGATCGTCTCTAAACAGGATGTGAAGCATCAGTTCAGTCGTATTAAAGCCCTGAATAAACAGTCCTTCTGGATCCACTGTCTGTGTTTGGCTCCTCATCTTCAAAGACTCAACACAAGATGTTGGTCACATCAACATAAAACACAGGATTTGCTGCAGATGTTGAAGTGTGTTCTCCATATGAGAGAAGCTGCTGATCGTGTTTGTATGTTAGCACCTGTAGGATCGATGAACAGCTCTGACTCAGTTCACTAACCAGGCTCAGGGGAATAACTGGGATATTTCCCCAACAGAGACGTCCTGCTGGGATCGTTTTCCTGCTCTACACTCTGGTGTTTGCTCAAAAACAACAAAATGAATTTCCATGAGCCTACAGATCGTGGACTTCTTTGAGAAACTTAAAGAAGACGCTTTTCTTTCCTTAGATTGAACTTAAACAAAGGATTTGAGGAGCAGAAAAGTTTTTAAAGAGAAATTAAACATATTAATAAATATTCTGTTTATTTTACGTTATTTAGGTGTTTAGGTTATTTTTCTGTAACACGTCTGCTCTCGAGTCGTTATCAACAGTGTATCAATGCATTCCTGTGGGTGGAGACAGAAACACACACCCAAAAAGAGCTCAGAGCAAGAATAAAAGGAGGAGACAGGATCAGAGTGGGACAGTGGAGCTTGTTGTTGGTGTCTCTGTGTGAAGAAACTGTAAGTTTGCTTTGTTTCCTCCTTTAACAGTTTGTTTGTTTCTGTGATGTTTGGACCTGATGTCTCCATCACACCGACACTCTCTCTCCCCTCTGTTCCATATGTGACAGAGGGGAGAGAGTCTCTCACTCAGAGAACCAAGGTTACAATGTAACCACACGTTCAGCTCTTGTGTTTGAATCCTCATGATTATAGATTATTGATTGGCTGGAATCAAACAGTTTGAAGAACATTTATTCATGTGGTAGTTTCAGCTGCTGCTCACAAATCTGATAACAGGAACAAGTTAGTTCCACGAGGAAGACGTTCGTCTGGGCGTTGGCCTCGTCGGTCATGTGACCGTGTTACTGTTCGGGCTCAAACTGATACGAGTGGTTTAGCAGGTGTGACAGGACGATGCTGCACAGCCTCATTGTTCAGGTGTGAGTCAGACTCTGAGTCTTTATACAGTCCTGTTTAACAACATGTTGTTCCTGTTGATGTGTCACAGAGATCAGCTGTGCTAAACTCTGCTGCGTGCAGCTACTAGTTTCTCTAGTTTGGTGATGGAAACGTCGATGAGACTGTTTCCATCACCAACATCACGAGGAACACCTCTGAGTCTGATTCTGACTCTGTGCATAAAACCACAATTCCCTTCATGTCTGTTCATCTGATTCTGTAACGTGAGAAACTTTGATGTCTGAATTTTGAATCATTAATCATTAAAGTCCAGACTCGTAATTCTTAGAGGTTGGACTCAGCAGACGCTCCATAACACAATCATCACAGTCCTTCAGTTATGATTTCATATGATTGAGTTTTGAGTGTTACAGTGATGTGTTTCATGTTGTTGCAGGTCTCTGAGTGTCAGTGAAACCTGTCAGTTAAAACGAAGATCTTTCACTTCATTTCCCTCAGTGCGTTTCTAGACCTGATTTTCTGATTTACATGCGCTCACTTCCTGTGTTGTGACAAGTTAATTATCCTGAGTGCGCACTGGGCAGGGAGACTCCGCCTCCATTAAAACAACTAGATGTGGAAGTAGTGACGTTTTAGTTTAGTGCAGACGTGAGAGATGAGTGTCGTTACATTACTGTTCATTTTCTGTTACAGCGTTTATTGTCCACACGTGTGATCAGACAGGATTATTTCAACGATCTCATGTTTATTTTATCCTCCTGTAACTTTATGAAGAGCTAAACTGTCAGCACTAGTTAGTCCTCATAAGAACTGTTTGTGAGCTAAGAATCAACAATGACAAAGACTGTGAGTGTCATGAAGTGACTCCTCAGAATTAGGCTGATTTTTAAGTTTTGTGTCAATCAAAGCTAGAAGCTGGTGTAGCGTTGAGCTTTATTGTTGATTAATTAAAAAAATATATGTAAAAGAAAAAGGACTAGATGTGTTTTCTGTCTTTAGAAAAAGGTAAAATTGGTTATATTTTTTGGGCTAATTCTGACCAATCGTGACAGTCCAGAACTTTTCCCTGCTGTATCCTGTAACAATCAGTGTTGGGACTAACGTGTTCGTAAATAACGCGTTAGGTGTGATGATAACGCCAACTGATTTTAGTTTTATGATTCCTGGCTCCCATCTATGAGGTTTCTCATGTTTGTAAAAGTTACCTCATCATCCTCAGAGTCATCCTCCTCAACTGGCTGCTACTTTATGAAAACCATGTGTAACACCTGCACATGTGTTTGAAAAAACAAACGCTTTGATTTTGACACCCCAAGAAAATCTTCCTAGATCTGCACGTGTTCAAGAAGAGCAGAATAAACAGCAGCAGAAGCTGATTGATGAACAGCTGAATGACATATCAGCTGTAGCTGCAGCATCTGCACAGAGTTTGATTGGCTAACGCTGATTTGTTTGTTTTTTTAAACAGGACAGCAGAGAGAGAGAGGAGATGAAGAGTGCAGCAGATTGATGAGACAGTGAAGAAGAGGTGAGCATCTGACAGAGCAGAGCCAGTTTAAAGGAGCCTCACAAGCTCACACATGACAGCTTCATCAACATGGAGCTCTGAGTGTTTATTAAAGGCTCATTGGACGCTCTGACACAGCTGACTGCAGCCTTTAGCTGTGAGCACACAGTGTCTCCATGAGCCTACAGATCGTGGACTTCTTTGAGAAACTTAAAGAAGACGCTTTTCTTTCCTTAGATTGAACTTAAACAAAGGATTTGAGGAGCAGAAAAGTTTTTAAAGATCAATTAAACATATTAATAAATATTCTGTTTATTTTACGTTATTTAGGTGTTTAGGTTATTTTTCTGTTTTCTGTCACACGTCTGCTCTCGTCGTTATCAACAGTGTATCAATGCATTCCTGTGGGTGGAGACAGAAACACACACCCAAAAAGAGCTCAGAGCAAGAATAAAAGAGGAGGAGACAGGATCAGAGTGGGACAGTGGAGCTTGTTGTTGGTGTCTCTGTGTGAAGAAACTGTAAGTTTGCTTTGTTTCCTCCTTTAACAGTTTGTTTGTTTCTGTGATGTTTGGACCTGATGTCCATCACACCGACACTCTCTCTCCCCTCTGTTCCATATGTGACAGAGGGAGAGAGTCTCTCACTCAGAGAACCAAGGTTACAATGTAACCACACGTTCAGCTCTTGTGTTTGAATCCTCATGATTATAGATTATTGATTGGCTGGAATCAAACAGTTTGAAGAACATTTATTCGTGTGGCAGTTTCAGCTGCTGCTCACAAATCTGATAACAGGAACAAGTTAGTTCCACGAGGAAGACGTTCGTCTGGGCGCGTTGGCCTCGTCGGTCATGTGACCGTGTTACTGTTCGGCTCAAACTGATACGAGTGGTTTAGCAGGTGTGACAGGACGATGCTGCACAGCCTCATTGTTCAGGTGTGAGTCAGACTCTGAGTCTTTATACAGTCCTGTTTAACAACATGTTGTTCCTGTTGATGTGTCACAGAGATCAGCTGTGCTAAACTCTGCTGCGTGCAGCTACTAGTTTCTCTAGTTTGGTGATGGAAACGTCGATGAGACTGTTTCCATCACCAAACATCACGAGGAACACCTCTGAGTCTGATTCTGACTCTGTGCATAAAACCACAATTCCCTTCATGTCTGTTCATCTGATTCTGTAATGTGAGAAACTTTGATGTCTGAATTTTGTTCTATCATTAAAGGATGTTGTGCTGTTGCTGCACATGCTCAGTTTGACAGGATGTTGGCTGCTCTGTTTGCACATGCTCAGTTTGACAGGATGTTGGCTGCTGTATTTGCACATGCTCAGTGTGACAGGATGTTGGCTGCTGTGTTTGCACATGCTCAGTGTGACAGGATGTTGGCTGCTGTGTTTGCACATGCTCAGTGTGACAGGATGTTGGCTGCTGTGTTTGCACATGCTCAGTGTGACAGGATGTTGGCTGCTGTGAAAGCTGAATGCTCTGTGGTTAGAAGTGATGTCACACATTAGGATAACTGTGCTCGCTCTCTGTCAGAGTAACAGAGAGCGAGCAATTTGACCACATGACCCTCAGTACACAGCATGATGTGCGCTGTAAACAGGAAGTAGAGGAGCAGGACTGAGGTAAACCTCTGAGGGATCAAACTGAGACTGAGCTCCAGATGTTTCCACATGTTTCTGCTCTGCGTGTGTTTGATGATTATTTCAGGTAGATGATGGAATATGGCCAGTCTGATGTGAGCCTGCTCTCTGACAGCTCCTCACCTCTCTGTGCTGCCCCTGCTGGCTCTGATCATTACTGACTGAGTCCTTGCTGCCACTTTATTAGGTACAGCTTGCTAACACAGGCTCAGACCTGCTTTGCCTTCAGAGCTGAGCCTTAAATCTTCATGGCTCAGATTCAGCAAAGTGCTGGAAACATCCCTCAGAGTCATGTGATCAGTGACGTCTGCTTTCAGCACTGACAGATAGAAAAGTGCATCCACATAAACAGGATATATAATAATAATAATCAAATGCTGATTTTTTTTCAGCCCTTTGTCTGAATGCTAATCCAGCTGTGTGTGTTTGTAATGACAGTAAATAAATGTCAGACTTACAGCTCCTGCTTTACTGCATTAAAGTGATCAGATGACTTCAGCACTTTGACATGGATGGTAGTGAAAGCAGGAAATGACAAATGTAGCACAGCAGCAGCGTTTAACAGAAACTCTGGGATGAACATCATTCATAGAACAGCTTCCAGCTTCTTTGCTCGCTACAGTTTGGATGGATTTGCATTTAAAGATGCAACAAGACTAAAATGGTTAGGGTCAGGAGGAGGTCAAAGAGAGCTCCTGTGGGTCTGAGGGCGGCTCACGCTGGAGAAGGATGAAGGAGTCTGACCTGAGCCAGTGTTTGACATGAACACATCAGCACTGCTGTCAGTGAGCCTAACGACAGCCGTTAGCATCATTTCAGTGTCAGTCATAAAAACACTTCCTGTCTCTGTGGTGGTTACAGTGACATCATGCAGTTTGTGCTTTGACCTCCAGAGGGCGACAAATCAGCACAGACAGAGAGCTCCATTCAAACTTGCTGCCATCAGGAATAATTCTTCAAATATCATCATCAGTGTTTGAGCAGTTATGATAGGGACAATCTAGACATGTGTGACAATACTGAACATGTCACATGACACACCTCAAACATCATGTGATCCACTCTCAGTCTGCACTTTCATTCATGACTTCAACAGGTTGAAATGAGCTTTGAAGAAACATTCAGTGAAATAAATCTTTCATGGATTCATGTGAGCAGCAGATGAACTTTGTACCAACAACATCTTCAATAACAGAGTCTGAATGAAGCTCAGGTGTTGATGCTGCTCACTGATTGGACGCTTGGTTTCAGCTCTGCTCTCAGTCTTTACTGCACAGGTGAAGGTAGAAAGTGTGACTGGATCTATAGACTGGAAACAGAGAAACATGCTGAACATTTGAAGCTTTGCAGCAGAAATGTTCATGTTACAAATACAGCAGAGCTGATCTGGGATCAGTGTGTTCACACCTGCAGCTACAACAAGGTTTCATGTCTCCACACGTCAGCATGTGAACTTTACTCTGACTCAGTCTGAGCAGTCAGACGGCATATTTTTAAAGTTAACACATCAGCACACACAGAGCTGAGCCCCTCCCACCTGTGCTGAGTTTCAGGTGGAGCCCCGCCTCCTTCCAGGAAGCAGCTCACCTGTGTGTCCGTGTTTAGTGTCCAGGTGTGGAGTGGAGCTTGTTGTTGGTGTGTGAAGAAACTGTAAGTTTGCTTTGTTTCCTCCTTTAACAGTTTGTCTTTAGGAACTTTACTGTTTGTTCAGCTCGTGTTTGATTTCTTCACACAAAAACTGTGTGTGTTTGTATTTCCGGTCTCTCCATTAAAGTCAGTGTGTAATGTTTCCTGGCTAACATCAGCTGTGTGCAGCTTAGTTCAGCACAAATCTGCCGCTCCATAGTTCACGGTAACGGACTCACAGCTGGACCAACGAGGCCGAGTGTGTCCGCCACTCTGAGCTACGTTCGTGTTTGTGTACTTGTAGTTTGTACTTTGAGTTCACTCAGAGCCCACAGAGGACGCAGCGTACGTGATGACGTCACAGCCCTTTACCTCCTTTACTCTCACTGTGATTAATATTTACACACGAGACACCTGCAGAGCTCTGACGCTAAGCTAGCACACAGCATGCTAACACTAAGCTAGCCAAGAACCCAGAGTGAGTTAAAGCTGAGTAAACACTGACCCCAGACCAGCACCGTGATAAAGTGAGCTGCTGCTGCTGAACTTGAACAGGTAACAAAGTGATGAGCAGTCAGGCTGCAGGTTTCTACCTGTTCATGTTTCTACAGTAGAATCACTTTGAAGTGTCTTTGTGCTGTTTCATCTTTGATTTGTGTTCATAAACTAGAGCTGGGCGATAGAACGATAACGATATGTATCGCGATATAACTTTTTACTCGATAGAGAAATTAAGCTATCGTGATAGACCTCGCCGCGCTTGTCCTCAAAAAAAAAAAAAAAAAAAAAAGGTCAGCCAATCCAAACTAAGTAGCCGCACTGTGTTTGTTTGGGAAGCAGCCAGCGCGTAATGGAGGAAGTGTGCCGGCTAGAAAATCAACCGAGCGTGACCGAAGAGAAAAGATGATGGTTCCAACGCCGGAGAGATTGTCGAACGGAAGAGCCATAGAAGCTCCGTAGTGTGAAGGTATTTCGGCTATTTCAAGTCTGACAAAAAAACAGTAGCGTTCACTGTAAATGTGCCGAAAGCAAGTCTGGAAATACAATAAACTGGTGCATGCGTCACACTGTGCGCCACGTTATTGTTTCGGTGAAATGAATTTCTACAATACTGTTAATTCTACTCTCTGCAGTGTTTAAATGCTTACATATACACACAGTTACTGTCCCTCCACACATACGACTCTGTTCTGCTTCTATGCCCCAGCTTTGTTTACTTTTTCCCACCGAGGCTTCTAGACTTCTGATTGGCCAGCATTTCGGCACGGTTAGGAATCTAGCGCCACCTGCTGCTTTGGCATGTTCATAGCAGCGTTTTCCTTCATTTCTGCCTTTATGTGTGGACGGGATTATTTTTTAAAACGGAAACGGAAAATCTCCGTTTTCAAAAATACCCGTGTACGTGTGGACGTAGCCTCAGTCTCTGACTGGAAGCGCTAATTCGTCATTCGGCTTTTGTCAGACTAAAGTAACTGTTAAAACTGTTTGAAAAGCTAAGCTATAACAACAAGGAGAGATTGAGAATTTCCTTTTAGTTCTCAGTTTATTTGATATTGACAAAAGTTAGTCAGTTTTGTCTGTTCTTCTGTAAAACAAACTAAGATTTATTTTTAGAATTAATATTTTGTTTCTAAGTGGAATTGACAGTTTAGTCTGTTTCGTTTGTTTATTTTGAAACTTAAACGCTTTAGCGGCTGCCTTTTGTGTAGTTTGCAATATTTGCCTTTATTTCTGAAAAAGTCTCATG